AAGTATTGATTGGTTATTTTCGATCTACATGGATGCCACTTGTTCTTCCTATTTTTACTGATTTTTACCTTAGGCCGAGTTTGAAAAATAATCCGAACTTCAGCAGAGAAAAAGCAACAGCGAACCTTTGATGAAATTTGTTTGGCTATTTTTTCACATTTGGCACCAATCCAGGGTAATCTAAGGTAAACAGGGCATTTTTTGACAGTGTAGAGATCGGCACTTCACTCTTCAACTTTATTGCGATAACTGAATTAACAGTATCAAGAGGATAACCCAAATTACATAGGGTATCCTTAATAAAGTTAATTTCGTCGTTCAAGAAAGGCTCAGAGCAAATCTTTAATGCTCTGTGGAGGAGGGTTTTAATAATGTTGATCTTGCGCTTAGTGGGACAAAAAGAGTCCCAACACGTGTACAACCCTGCAAAAGTTGGTTTTCTATAAACGGAAGTAAGAAAACCTGTTAACGTACGATGTACTAATACATGCAAAAAAGCCAATTGATGATTAGAATCTTTTTCGATAGTGAACCTCAGTGCCGGATGGATACCATTTAAAAACGAAAGAAACTGGTCAGCCTCAACTTCACCGTTAAATAAACAAAAGGTGTCATCAACATACCGACAGTACATTTGAGGATAAAGTGGATTCTTTCGTATCTTTTCTTTCTGGAAGCCAACAAATATGTTAGCAAGTGCCGGACCCAAAGGCGAGCCCATAGCGACTCCGTTGATCTGTCGGTACATAGTTGTTGAAACTGAATTCGACGGAGGACGTGGCAAATCTCATCAATTCCCGAAAAATTGACTCATGAAAACTAGGTGGAGTTAATGAACTGCGATAGAGATAGTCGCAGCAAATATCGATGGTTTCCATCAAAGGGACACAAGTATACAAGGAAGAAACATCGAAAGAGCACATGAACTTACCAGAAGAAGACAAATTTCCCACGCGGTCAACAAAGGAAAAGGAATCCAGACACTGCAACACAGGATCCAAAAGTGTGGAGAGCCATTGGGCTACCTTGTGTTGGGCTGACCCGATCATGGACAAAATCGGTCGCAAAGGTACACCTTCCTTATGGATTTTCGGGAGACCATATAATCGGGGACGAATCGAACCGGAAGGACGGATTTCGTTGGCAATTTCCTTTGAAAGTAACGCTGATTTTACCCACTTTATAAGTGATTTTTGAAATTTCGCTTCACATGAGGAGGTTCCATCACAGGTGTCAGCAGAACCAAATCTAGTAAATTTTGAAGTGTCTTCTAAGATAGAAGACATTTTGGTTATATAGTCTACTCGATCTAAAATAACTACACCAGCACCTTTATCAGGTCTGGAAATTATCAAGTTATAATTATTCCTCAGAGAGTTAACAACACTCTCCCGTGGAAGCCTGAAGAGCGGGAGCGAAACCGGTTGCTCCCCCCTCCTTGCTCTTGTGTTTTTTTTTTATTATTTAATATTGTTTTAATATGTCTTGTAATATTAAATTTTATACTTTTATTTCGATCATATATATATATATATATGCACCAGAATGTTGTAGGAACATAACTGAACAATGCTGAAAGAAACTGGAGAAGACGGAATGACCATATAAAAATGTCGGATTAATAATAAATCCATTAGTTCTTTAGAAATTTCTTTTATTTTCTATAAAAAAAATCAAAAACATGAGAATTTCAAAAATATCTAAACGTGGGAACATGCATTTTTTAGTTTAAATAGAACCTTGCAGTGCTGTTTCACTCTGTTGCCGAGCAATCTAAAATATGCCGGATCACCGGTGGTTTTCCAAACAAAGGAGGGTGCAATTCTGTCACATTTTCTTTATTAAGTCTTTTCGATAGTGCAGCTTCCTAAGCATAATATCGCGATTAATCGCGCCTATCTCATGACCCATCAGGGTCGCTGTGGCATCACATGTACTCCAGCCGCTGTTTCCCGGGCAAGATAATCTATCCAGGCTTGTTTGGCTTTTATAGTTTTCCTTCTCCTAGATCGTTAACCACTCAGTTTCTCCTGCTATGTTACTCATGGATGAGGATTCATTCCTTTCCCAAGGGTAATAGCATGTAAGTGAATGCAATGGAACCGACTGGAATTCGAACTCGGCTCTTCGATTCCCCAGTCCATTACTCCACCGAGCCTCCTATATAATATAGACATAATATATATTGTTTAAAATACGGATATCCACTCAAAATTACGTTGAAATACTGAATATAGATATATATAGCTAGATAGAAGTGTGTTCATGCATCCATGTTAGTGTTTGTGCCTGTGTGTGGATGTGTATATTTACATATATATATGTAAAAATATTGGGTATATATTTGTTGTTTTGTTTTTTTTTAATAATTTCACCTCAAGTACGAGAAATAAAGCCGCTCAGATAGAAAGTGTTACTGAGAGCGAAAGAAACGGGAATCTTTATTGACTCGAAATGAATGATAACAGAACAGGATCCAAGGAGACAGATGACGGCGACTGACTCGTCCGGACTTCGTATTTTGCTGCCATATATGGTCCGATGTTCTTGGTGCTTATTTAGAATTCCTTGTTAAATTCCAAAGAAAAATCAGTAATGTTATTGGTCTTGAACCAGCGTCTCGGTTTCTGTCACTTTCCCGCCTTTTTCCCTGTGCCTTTCTTTCTATAAATACTTCAATGGTAATTATTTGGTGATCTCTCCGCTGTCGTACCTAAATTTTATGAGATTCGGCACAGTACTAGATTATTAACAAGGTCTCATAATTTTACAGTTGGATTGCCTAAATATAACTGTAAATTCTATGCAAACAGTTTCTTTTCTAGATCTTCTCGCTTGTGGAACTCTCTTCCGGTTCCATGTTTTTCCGGACAACTTTAATCTTCAAAAATGCAATGTCAATCGTTATCTACTTTTTCCTGATTAAACTTCTATTGTCCTCAATCCTTAATAATGTTTCTGTTTCCGTAGTTCGTATTCTTTCAGACTTAGTTTACCCTTGTGTCTCATTGGCTTTACTGTTTTTGCATGGAGGAAATGATTAAAAAAATTAAAATTTTTCAACTAAAGAATTGAAGGTGGGGAGAAAAACCGGAAGAGTGTTCCGCAAGCGAGAAGTGCGAAGTAAGAAACTATTTGAATAGAATTTACTGCTACTTACTAGTTATTTCAACAGGAAAATGATGAGACCTAACTGCCAATACTGTACTGCGCTTAAAGTCATGAAGTCGAGGTACTAAATAGGAATGTTCATCATGAAAATATGGCTATGGGTGCATGATAAACAATGAAAACTTTCCTTGACAACCGTGTAAAGTGGACTAAATAAAACCGACACACACACATACGGATGTACACATATGGGGAAGGCGATCACATGGCGACACACACGGATACATAATCTTCCTAGTTGAAATACAGTGTTTAAGAATGTGGCTTTTTTGTGGAGGCAAAAGATGAGAAAAGAGTGAAAAAAAGGAAATGAGACGGGGTTGAAGAAAGAGATTTACTGAATGAAAGTGATAGATAGATAGATAGATAGACAGATAGATAGATAGATAGATAGATAGATAGATAGATAGATAGATAGGGACAGGTAGCTGAAAAGAGATAGGAATGTATAAGGATAATAAAAAGAAGAGTCAAAGTGTAGGAAGAGAGTGAAAGACAGAAGTTAGCAGAAGTAAAGAACGAAAGACGGTGAGAAAATAAGTTTCTAACATAATTAAACAGAGAAAATGTAGATAAAAAAATGAATTCAGTGGCAAAATCTCTCCTTGCCGACACTCTCTTTCTTTTTCACTAATTCTCTGTTAGACTGCTACCGTCTGACTTCTTAAATGTGATCTCGGATTTTATTTTTTTTTGGTATAATTCTATGTTTTTCGTCCTTTCCTTCAGCTTCCTTCAGGTTTTCACTCTCTTCCAACTCTTACTACTTCTTTTTATTATTTTCATGGCTGCCTATCACTTTTCAGCTGCCTGCTAGTATCTTTCTTTCTCTTTCTTTCTCTTTCTCTCTCTCTCTTTCTCTCTCTCTCTCGTTAACTAAATCTCTTTCTTAGTCCCTGTCTTGTTTTCTTTTTCATTTTTTTTACCGTCCTTGTTTGTCTCAGTTTCCAATTCTCCCTTTACGTCGTTCCCATTCTTTTTTTCCATCATTTTTATCGACATAAGTTTATTTCAGTTCATCATTATATTATCTTTCTATCAATCAGGTGGTTCATATCTATTTATCCACACACACACACACACACACACACACACACATATATATATATATATATATGTGTGTGTGTGTGTGTGTGTGTAGTGTATATAAATATAAACAAATATATATATGTATAATTATTTATATATTATATGCGGTACTTATTAGAAAGCGCTCAATATCAGAGATAGAGCTAACATATTTGGTTGGATCCAACCAAATATATATATATATATATATATATATATATATATATATATATATATATGAAGAAATATATTCTTAAGATGTGCTATATTTATGGGATAAAGTGCTCAATATCAGAGATAGAGCGTGTGTAAATATAAAGTGAACATTGAAGTAAAATCTTAGAGGCGACAGGCTGTTTCAAGCCTAGCATGTAACAGCCTGTCACCCTAAGTGTTCCCTTCAATGTTCACTTATATATATATATATATATATATATATATATATATATATATATATATATATATATATATATATATATATATATATATATATATATTTCACTTTTCTAGAGTTTAGTACGCTAGTTAACTATCGTAAACATTTTACAGACTT